GAAACTTGACACCAAGTAAACACAGAGCCTGAATGGCCCCCAGGGGAGTCTACATGACAGATACAGGGTGCTACAGTTCATCTACTTTCAGATGCAAGTACCTAATTATGGTATTTGATCATGTATCATCATTTTGATGATCATCATGATTTCTTACAGATGTTGCTGGCTTCCCCAATCCCAAACCAGTATCTTACTGCCAGTTATTGTTATTGTACATAATAGGCATATTGCAAAAGAGTAAGCGGATCTCTGCTTCCTGGTGAGGTTGCATTTATCAATTCATACAATCCTCATTAATGCAGTATTAGCAAAAGCTGCAGTAAGAAAAACAAGGAACACCTGAAGAGCCACCCATTTCTCGCCACTTCCATGTAGCACTCATACATTTTGTTTTTCTGAAACTTTCATAAAATTATATTAAAATCAGAAATCAACAGCTGATGCTAACAGTCATGTGGCCTTGAGTGGTATCAAAAAGCTCAGAATGGCTGGATGTGGTTAGGCTTTGAATGGGAAACCATCAGAAAATCTCAGGGTCAGGCTAAAGAGAGGAGAAGCTTTAAACAAAAATATGTCGTAGAAGGAAATGGCAAATATTTCCATTTTATTGCTAATAACACAATATGAATATGTCCATGAAATCAATAGGAATTCAACTTAAGCTTTGGTAGTCCTCCATTTATTAAAATCAGAGTTCATTAGGTATTAATATTCTGGATTTAGTGGCTTACAGCAAGATGCAGAAATGCACTATTAAGCCACTCAGGAAATAGTCTGAATTCTTAAAAAAAAAAACTCAAAACAACAACAACAAGAAGATCCAACAGATTTTGGGATTGTTCCGTGAGAATCAGTGAAATGGGCAATTTGTATACAAATGTTAAGTTCTGAAATATTTGCTAAGACATAATGTTGCTGAAATAGCCTTATTAAATGGGAAAATATATTACTTCATATCCTTCAATATGCTATTTTACTTATTTTTCAGATTTTTTAAATTCCACCTTTACTATTTTAATAAATAATTTCAAGACAGAAAGACAGATGACCTCCAAGATCCCTTCCAACTTTTTTATTATTATTATTATTATTATTATTATTATTATTATTATTATTATTATTATTATTATTATTATTATTATTATTATTATTATTATTATTATTATTATTATTATTATTATTATTCCTTCCTCTTCCTATTTTACCCACAACAACCCTGTAAGGTGTGTTGGGCTGAGAATGAGTGACAGGCCCAAAGTCACCCACCTGGCTTTCATGCCTAAATTGGGACTAGAACTCACAGTTACTAGCCTGATGTCCTAACCGCTAGGCAAATGTATATGTACTGTATATGTGTTACATTTGGGGAACCTGTCTTGAATTACTCCTGAGAACATGATAGATTAGAATTCTAAATAAGTGAGGATGCGGTTACCACAACTTGACATATCTTGTATCATCACCTTGTCTTCTTTCTAAATTACATTCTTAATTCACTTAGCCAGATAGAATTGTCATCAGGAAAATGAAAAGCCATACGAAATAATATAAGGCAATCCAAGCAAAGAGCCATATTTGAATTGACAGACATAAACATTTTCTTGAATGTTACTGTATATCCTTCCTAATTTCCTTAGTAAAGAGATTGGTGATGGTATAAGTAATATGCATGAACTTTAAATTTAGATTAAAAGGAGCCTATTTTGCTGGCA